TAGATGAGAATGTCGTCGATGAACACTATCACAATTTATCGAGGAATGGTTTACAAACCCTATTCATCAAATCCATGAATGCTGCGGGAGCATTGGTTAGTCCGAATGACATAACCAAGAACTCGTAGTGTCCATATCTTGTTCTGAATGCAGTCTTCTCAATATCCTGCTCTCTCACCTTCAGCTGATGATATCCTGACCTAAGATCGATCTTTGAGAAGTAGCTCGAACCTTGCAGTGATCGAATAGGTCATCAATCCTGGCAATGGATACTTGTTCTTCACCGTTGCCTTATTCAGCTCTCGGTAGTCTATGCACATCCTCATGCTTCCATCCTTCTTCTTCACGAATAACACCGGAGCTCCCCAGGGTGATGAACTAGGTCGAATGAATCCGCTGTCCAACAGCTCCTGAAGTTGTGTCATGAGCTCCTTCATCTCCGTCGGTGCTAATCGGTAAGGTGCCTTTGCTATTGGTGTTGTTCCTGGTAACAAGTCTATACGAAACTCCACTTGCCTATCAGGTGGTAATCCGGGAAGATCTTCGGGAAAGACTTCCGGATAATCGCACACAACCGGTATATTCTGCACCTCTTTCTTTTCTTTCTTAGCATCGATTACGAATGCCAAGTATGATGCACATCCTTTGGACAAACATTTCCTGGCTTTCATCAGGGAGATGATTCCAGAATTTACTCTGCGTTTGTCCCCGTACACCATAAATGATTCCTTTCCGGGTGGGTTTATCCTAACTATCTTCTTTCGGCATAATATCTCGGCATCGTTGGCGCTAAGCCAATCCATACCCAAAACGATGTCGAAACCGTTTAACTCTATGGGTAATAGTTCCTCATGGAATTCGTTTCCGTTTAGGTCAATGACGATGTTCCTAATACGATTACTAACAGGTACGAATTTGCCACTGGCAACTTCTACAATCAGGGCATTATCTAGTTTTTCTACAGGCAATGCTAATCTTCCACCAAATTTATGCGACACAAAGGAGTAATTGGCTCCGGAATCAAATAGTATATTTGCAGGCAAACCATTTACAAGAAAGGTACCTGAAGCGACGTCTGCTGCCTCCTTCGCAGCCTCGAGCGTCATCTGAAAGGCTCTCGCCTTTGGCTTTGGTGGTATGTTGGGCCTTCCCGCATCTTTCTTCTTTGGGCAATCCTTAGCAATATGCCCTTCTTCACGACACTCGTAGCACACCTTCTTGTTGGTGGTGCACTCATTGGCATAGTGCCCCTTTTCCCACACTTGTAGCAGGTTACTTCATCGCCACATTTCCCGAGTGCTTCTTCTTGCACTTCTCGCACCATTTAAATTCGTTTCCTCCCCCGAATTTTTTTGAACCGAACTTGCTCTTCTTTTTGTTGGGTTTAGCAGACCCTTCAAATTTCCTCTTCTCGCCAACCTCGATTTTGCTGGCAGCTCTTCCCTTAATCATGTCCTCCACAGACTTGGCAGCCCAGATAGCTGCCTCCAAAGTAGGTGCCTGACGTACTGGCACCGCGTACTCCCATGGAAGTCCCTTTGCGTACTTATCAATTTTCGTCAGCTCATCCGGAACAAGACGCAAGGCAAACTCCATCTTTTCTGTGAAGTTGTTCGTGTATTCATCGATTGACATGCTTCCCTTCTTCAGGGTTAGAAACTGGTTCTCTAACTCTAGCAGGTTTTGAGCCGAGCAGTATTTTCGTTTGAATTGCACCAGAAATTCTGCCCATGTCAGTTGCAGGGGCTTGTTGGGGCTTAAAGTCTTCCCCAAGGTATTCCACCAACGTACAGCGCCTCCTCGAAACTGACGCACTGCAAATGTGGTCTGTAGCTTTCCTCTGCAACCGCACGTCATGAAAGCTAACTCCATCTCCGAGATCCAATCCATAATCCCGATTGGATCTTCCTTTCCCGTGAAAGTCGATGGCTTGCAAGTCAGAAAATCCTTGTACTTGCATCCATTCCTCTCGACTTCGTCACTCTGGTTGTTTTGTTGAACTATTGGTGGGTTGGCTTGACCAACGGTCCCACTGTAGTTTCCCTCCTCAGTCTGCCCTTCGTTCCACTCGGGCTGTTCGATCTGAATAGTTGCTTCCTCTCGATTTTGTTGGATCAAGAGTCTGGTTTCCTCCATTTTACGATCCAACATCGCCTGGATCATCGCTTGCACTCCGGCCATTGTTATTGGCTCAGTAGCGGCTACCACAACGGGGTATCTGCTCAATTACTGGGGGTTGGTTTCTATTCCCATTTGCATTCACGTTTCCGCTTCGGGTCCTTGCCATCTTGATCTATACATTCGAATAAGGTGAATTTAGATCTTTATTTAGGAGAGACGTTTTAAATCGTCCTTATCACTCCGAAACGTTTACATGCTAGTTCTAATAGCGTAGTCATACGTTTAGAATCCTAAACACATAAGGTTTCCAGATCCGGTCGGCAACAGACCATAGATCCGAACAAAATAACAGCATATCATGCATAAAGCATTTAGCACATAAAAGCATTTTAGGCACAATTCCTAAAATAAGCTAGTGCTCACACCTCACAATCATCGCTTAGCATTCTAAGTTTAAGTCTAGAAATCCTACAAATTCCTAGTTCGCTTAAACTAATGCTCTGATACCAACTGTGACATCCCCAAAATCACAGCCAGAAAAGACCAGTTTGTTTATGCTTTGTTTAAAAATAAGAGTAACATTTTAAATAAAAGTGTTGCGGAATTTGTCCCAAAACAATAACATGATAAAGATTTATCAAAAGCATTTCCATAGAAATGTATTTCATTAAAAGACTCGGGATGTCATGTTCGTACAGATCAAAAGCATAAACAGTACAATACAAGCCTTACTACATTATTTCATATCTACAGGCCTATATCCGTAATCCCTCGTCCAAACATCATATATATGCTCAAGCGCCACTACCTGTAATACATAAAACTGAGTGGGTCAGGCTTGGGAGCCTGGTGAGCACATAGGGTTTTCAACCCACAATAAATAAGTTTATTAATTTCATCAATCAACAATAACCCGATTACCCGTTCCCGTTATCCTCACTTTACGTCCCTAAACACCTATCATAAGGGACCTAGCCTAAGGATCATCATCGGGACGGACACTACTGCTAAGGGGATTCCTCAGCAATAAATGTCCTAATAGGCAACCATGTGGGGGATGGAGTACATCTGGTGAGCACACAGTTCAAATAAACACCTACAGGTTGCGAGCCTGCTAGTGTTCCACTGGACTGTCTAGAATAGTCCGTGGTCGTCATCTATACTCCGCTAGATGACTGGATCATCAATAACATCTATAACGAGGCCTCTCATTATTTTATTTTGTCACACAGCAACTATTACATCTACCCATGTTTTACCCAACACATTTTGTAGATATAAAATACATATACAGTTTAAATCTTTGAAAACATGTATAAAACGTTCATCCAGCATAGATAGCAAGTATTCAGATAATATTCACACATAGCACGTAATTTATATTAAATACTTCATATCTATGTGTAAGCTGAAAGTAACTATGCACTCACCTGAAAAGGTGGTGATTCCGAACTCAGACAGCGCTTCGCTTCTTAAAAAGAATTTTCTTCGACGAAACCTAGTATTATTACCACTAGAGTTTAGTTTATTATTCGTCGAGACTAATTAATAGTCTAGCTATTATTATTATTATATAAGCGTCAAAAAAATACTTATATAACCCATAATAATAGCCCAAGTATTTATTATAAGTTCCTAATAACGTTACTATAATTAAATAAAAGCTATATTAAAAATAGCGTAGGCGTAGCTCACTTACAGCGGGTTTTATAGAAAACTAGGATTTGCTTGAAGCAGCGTTTTTGAGTCAAAAAGCTCTTCTTCTCGGAGCCGTTGGGCACTCCGGGGCTTCTGCCTCGTGCTAGGGAGGTTCCCTAGGCTTTTCGGGGGATTTTGGGGCTAGAGAGAGGTTCTAGAGAGAGAGAGAGAGTAAAGAGAAGAAAGAATGGGAAATATGTGAAGAAAATGAGGGTGGGAGAGGTGGTATTTATAGGGTGAAATGTGGCTGAACTTGGTGCCACATGTCACCATCTGGTGGCAAGCCTTGGGGAGAAAGCAATGGCCAAGATTGTGCCACATCACCCATTTTCGCACAGCACACTTCCGACTTCTAAAATCCGTAACTTTCACATACGACCTCCGTTTTTGACGTTCTTTATATCCACGCGTAGGTAATAATAAGATCTACAACTTTCATTTTGACTCCGTCAGCTAATTCTCGACCGATCTTAAATTTAACAGTACAAGGAGATTATACTGTTAAACGTCTGCGTAAAATTAATAACTTCTACATACGGACTCTGTTTTTGTCTGTCTTTTTACCGTTGATTTCCTATTAATGAGATCTTCAACTCTCATTTACGTTGCGTAAGCCAAAAACCGCTCGAACTAAAATTCGAGTTTCGAGTCGTGCACTGCTAAGCCGAATCTTAGAAAAATCATAACTTCTTCATACGAAGTCAGATTTAGGCGTTCTTTTTATCGATGTTCTTAGTTTAACATATTCTACGACTTTTGTTTAGATTTCTAAGGCTAAAAAGTCTTCTATCGTAAATTCACTATTTACGTCTTCCGTGGTCGTGCCGGTTTTACCGTAAAACTTCGGCGGGTCATAACTTCTTCGTTATAGCTCGGATTTTGGCATGCTTTATATGTACGGAAACCTTGAGACATATTGTACAACTTTATGTAGAGAAATCGGGATTATCTCACACTTTAATTTTGACACTCATTTTTATTCTTTATTAATTATACATTTATAATTAAATAATAAACACATAAACACACATAATTCACATAATACTCAAATATTTCATATTTATTACTTCAAAAAGAGTTACAATAGTTGACCTAGACTATTACATTGACAAAAATGCTTAGCCCTGAAAACCCGGGCGTTACACTTGGCTTACAGTGGACACTCCCTACCTTGGATCTAATCATCTTCTTTTCAAAGGAGACATGGAAGTTTGGGGATGTGTCGATTCACTTAAAAGTGGAGCAGAAGTAGAGACATTTGATTCAGAGGGAGGAATCTCTGAAACCACATCTCTTGGACTTGAAGAGACCTCCATAGGTTTTGAAGAGGAGAGAAAAATTTTGAGAGCACTAACATCTTCCCCACTCTCGGTTGCTGGTTGAGCAACTTCATTGACCCTTTTAAAGCACCTGCTGTCGAATCCTGGAAGTGGACCAAAATCATCATCATCATCGAGATTAAGTTCAATACTCGAGGGGATATCATCGTTGATCCCACTAAAACCCAACTCAATCAGGAAATCATCATCACCACTGAAGTCCTCATCACCTCCCTGTCAATCAAAATTTCCCTCAACATATACATCATGTAGGTGGTCATGTTCCTCAGCCACAGCTGCTGCAGGTGAAACATGAACTTCTTCATTCTCAGGCTCTGAAATTGAAATCACAACATCCTCAGTTTCTGCGGGATTAAAAAGATTGTCTGATTCCGATTGATCACTATCGTCAACAAATATTCCAAATTTTATCAAACGAAATTTCCCTTTGAATACAAATTTTCCAGCTCTATTCTGTTTCATTAAGCCAAAAGGACTCGGACCGATAGACTTGAGATCCAGTGTTTAATTTCCTCTTTCGATCTCAGGATGCATGACATTGAGGATGATCTGAAGAAACCTTGGGTACATCAAGAACTTTTCCCTCATGTTTCCTTCAATATTGAGAATCAATTCATGCAGAATAAATTTTGAAAAATTAAATTCAATCCCTGATGCTAAGGCTGCAATAGCTCCTGTGTTGAAGAGAGAAATCTCATTGGGACCTAATCTCCTTCTGGAAATACAACTCACAAACACATGAGCTAAGTACTTCCAGCAAGGAGGTAGTAATTTCTGGATGGTAGGAGGAAATGATCGTTCATAACCCATATGGTCTAGGACTTCTTGGGTTAGTTCCAGATCAATCTCCATGGAGAATTCAGGTCTATCTTTGATGTGTAGTGATTTTCGAATGACATGTTCTATGATCAGGATTTTCTTGCCTTGTATAGTTGCCTCAAGATATTTCTCTTCTTGGTCATCTATTTTAACAATTGCCCTTCTCCAAATTTCCTTGATCAAGCTTTGATAAACCACCGGACCAGTCGTGAAAGCAGAAACCAGGCAGCATTTTCTTAGACCATCAATGATGAATTTGAGATCATTGTGGGCAGCCAGAGGATCTTCTAGAAAAATGATTGAATTATGTACCTTTGCAAACTCAAGATCTCCCATGTTGATATGAAAAACACAAGTATTCATTAGAGCATTTAAAAATAAGATATTTTCAACTATTTTAAAAAATTTATTAATTTTGGGTATACAGTCATACACCTATATCTAGCCACACATAGAGTGTGCAGCCGCACACAGTGTACATCCATACAAGACTTCCAACTGTTCATGGCCAGTCGCACACGAGGATGTGTGCAACCGCACACGTATTCAATCACACAAAGAGTGTATGCATCCGCACACGTCACCAGCCACACACAGGGGGTGTGCAGCCGCACATAGGGGGTGTGCAATTGCACACGGCGTGTTCGGTCGCACACACATAGTCGAAAACGAAACCCTCGATTAACCACCATTTCATGATCGATTTTACATGAGAATCATATTATGGGTGTCTTTTTTGCAGTTCTTATAGTTATAAAGCTTCAATTTCTGGAAAAAAAATGGATTTGGAGGTTTTTAGAGAGAGAGAGAGAGAGAGAGAGAGTGTGTGTGAAGAGCCATGTGCGGTTGAGCTCTAAGAAGGGTAAACAGTGACAGGAATGAAACCGCACACCCCTTTTTATACATTTCACACTTGGGCTTCCTTTTGCCATTAAAATCACAAGCCCAATACTGAAAAAAAAATTCAAAAATAAATCATTTTGAGGATTAAATGAAATAAAATTTTATCAAACCTATAAAAAATTTAAAAATAAAAATAGAAATAAAATAAAATAAAAGGATAATAAAAGATTTAATTCTAAACTAAATTTAATCCTCTAACTTGAAATTGATTAACCTTTTGTGATGTGGGATCAAAGTTGTTAGACAATCGTTTCCAATTTATCAGTACCTCCCCTTGCATGAATAAATCTGGTCGATCGCCAGTATTATGGTCCACTTAAGCACGAAAAATTGTGAAAAAATTTGGACATGCTATAAATGACAAGACAAGTTGATCCTATGTTCCTAGATAAAACTTCCTAAGGACCATTCATCTGACGACGACCGAGGATATTGTTGTCCACCTAAGTTGACCAGCGAGATCTACAGACAATCTAGAATTGTTCAATTTTAGATGTACTAGAACATGTTTCCCGCTTCCTAATATACCCCAATAATCAAGAACTTCTGAGATACTCCTTACTTTAGGTGAGCAGACTATTATTCATAGATAGGATAGATTTAGATTATGATTAAGTATAGTTTTAAAGGGATTGAGAAGTAGAAGGTTGCATATACTGTGTACCAAGTCAGATTGCTAATCACACAAAGGAGACAACATATGCCTAAGAGTAAGAAATAGATTTGCATATGTTGCAGTCCAGGTCGGATCTCTTCCAATCACGTAGAGGAGGAAACATATGACTAAGAGTAAGAAAGAAAGAAAACAATTTTCTACAGGCCTACTTTATCGGAATTCCCCAGTCGCTCCGTCAATATCTGAATTAAGGACAGAGATCGTACATCAAGGAAAAGTAAAACCACAACTCTAGATATGGGCCCCTTTAATGTGATTGTTTATTTCTCCCCAGTCGCTCCGTTAATATCTGGTTTTTGTTTATTTCTCACCATAAATTTGTGCATGGAAGAGAATAAAAATAAAATGTGCAAATTTAAACTATCCTAAACAAAAATTAATCCTTAAAACGAATCATTTTCAAAAAGTTGACCAGCACATCGAATCGAGCTTTGTTAAACGGCTTGGTGAACAGATCCGCCACATTATTATCAGAGCGAACCTATTCTAGCCGAATGAGCGAGCGCTCATAACATTCTCTGATAAAATGACATTTGATGTCGATGTGCTTGGTTTTTTCGTGCTGGACTGGATTTTTAGCAATTTGGATCGCAACCTCATTATCATAGAATATAGGGGTTTCTGGAAAATTCAAACCGTAATCCAACAGCTGATGTTGGATCCATATGACTTGAGAACAGTAGGCAGACACAGCTACATATTCTGCTTCTGTTGTTGAGGTCGAAACAGTATGCTGCTTCTTGCATTGCCAAGACACCAGCCTATCTCCAAGAAATTGACATACGCCTGAAGTTGATTTCCTGTCAAGCTCGCAACCACCATAGTTGTTGTCTGCAAAAGCGTAAAGGTCAAATTCAGAATTTTTCGTATACCAAAGACCCAATTTCGGGCTGCCTTTGATATACCGAAAAATCCTTTTAACAGCAATAAGATGAGAAAGTTTAGGATTAGCCTGGTAGCACGCGCATTGACAGACCACAAACGTAACGTATGGGCGACTCGCGGTCAGATACATCAGCGATCCAATCATCAATCTATAGTATGTTTGATCTATGGATTCGCCTTCAAGATCAGGAGTTAGCAGTGGTCTCTCCGCCATGGGCGTCGAAGCAGTTTTAGCGTCTCTGAACTCGAACTTCTCGAGCATATCACCCACATATTTGGCTTGATGAATAAGGATCCCAACTGAACACTGTTTAACCTGAACCCCCAAAAACAGAGTCATCTCCCCCAACGAACTTATCTCGAACCGCTTTTTCATGACGTCCTCGAATTCTTTGTAAAGCTGAGGACTCGTCGACCCGAAGATGATATCGTCCACGTATATTTGGACAAGAATCTGGTCTGAACCGACATGCTTGATGAATAGGGTCTGATCGATAGTGTCGTGGGAGTAGCCATGGTCGAGCAAGTGTTGTGTGAGTATAGCATACCAGGATCTGGGAGCTTGATACAATCCATACTAAGCCTTGTCTAACTTTTACACACAATTAAGAAGTTTCGAGTTAACAAACCCAGGGGGTTGGTCAACATAAATCTCCTCCTTCACCTTGCCATACAAGAAAGCTGTCTTGACGTCCATTTGGTATATAGTGAAGTTCATGTGAGAAGCATAAGCGAGGAAGATACAAATAGCCTCCAAGCGCATGACCGGAGCAAAAGCTTCTGTATAATCAAGACCCTCTACTTTTCTAAACCTACGGACGACCAATCTCGCCTTATTTCTTACAATTACACCCGAATCATCTTGCTTGTTCCAAGACACCCATCTAGTGTCGAGAGATTTATTGGCTTTAGGAAGCTCCACCAACTTCCAAACCCTGAGCCTTTCGAATTGATTAAGCTCGTCATGCAAGGCATCAACCCAGTTGGGCTCATTCGAAGCCATTTCGACATTCTTGGGCTCTATTTGACAAATAAAGCAAGAATATAGACATGTGTTGGCATCTCCAATCTGAATTCTAGTTCGAACACCGTCACTCGTTGGCCAATGACGTTGTCTATTGGATGATCGCGATGTATGCAAGACAGAATTTTGTGACTAATGCCATTGAATGTGACTGGAAGATTATGGATATTAATAGCTCCTTCATGTGCTGAAGAATCCACGGTAGATGTACCATCGTCATGTGGTGAATTTGCTACAAACTCATTTGCAATTTGTTCGGGAAAAAGAATTTCCATTAGATTTTGAGTGATAGCGGAAGCATCTTGGTTCATGAACTCTCTTTCAACTGGAGTTAAAGGAGTAGCATCAGCATCTGGAGCAGCTTGTGGTGTTGGAGACTCTGGAGAAGCAGTTGAAACAGATGACTCCACCGGGAGATCAGTAGTAGAAACCAATGGCGGTTTGTAGACAACCTCTTCCTCGTCGTCTTCAATTGTATTCTTCGAGCTAGAGGTAGACCCAGCTTGGTTATCAGACGACACACTAAAGGATTTGAATAGAGATGTGTAGTCAAATAGCCAATCAAGACCCACCCTAGCGTCTGTCTCATTCTCTTCAAGCCAATAAACATTGAAAGACTCCACAACTTGCTTCATCTTCTTGTTGTATACCCGGTAAGTAGTACGAGCAGTGTAACCAACAAAATATCAATCATCAGCTTTGGCATTGAATTTTGGGTTGGATTCCAAGTGAAGAATGGTGCAAGGGCAACCAAATACTCGGAAATGGATGACAGATGGCTTGTGTCCATAGAGGATATCATATGGTATCTTCATCTGGCCTTTGTTGATCAGGACACGATTTTGAACATAGTAGCTATGTTGATTGCCTCTGCCCAAAAGAAAACTTCAAGTTTATAATCACAAAGCATCGTCCTTGTAGTGTCTTGAAGTGTTTGATTCCTCCATTCAGCAACACCGTTTTGTTATGGTGTTTGGATGGAGGTAAATTGATGCATGATCCCTTTCTCAGTGCAAAAATGATCAAGAACAATGTTCTTGAATTCGGTTCTATTGTCTGTATGAAGCGCTTTCACTCGGTTGTTGGTTTGGTTCTCGATTGTCATAATAAAACTCTTGATAAGATCGGTGATCCCACCTTTGTTGGACAGAAAGAAGACCCACGTGAAATGAGAGAAATCGTCTATCACGACAAGACACTATGAATTTCGATTGATGATGAGGACATTGATTGGACCAAACAAGTCTATATGCAACAATTGGAGCACCTGACTAATGGAGTTGACCTGCTTTGGCATATGTGGTTTCCGATGGTGTTTGCCTTGAGCACAGGAAACACATTTCTCAAAAGTAATAAAATCTCTGACATGCAAACCACGGACCATTTCGTTCTTAGCAAGACGATTCATATTCTTTGCATTTGCATGACCAAGTCGACGATTCCACAACATTGCATTTTGTTCTGAGACTTTGGAAAAGAGACAAGTGACTTCATCAGGTACATTGTTGTTCATGTCGATAATATAGTCATTCCCATCCCGCTTTGATTTTACGATAATCCATTCCTCCGGAATGACAATGCCCGACTTTAAGATCAGACATTCTTTATCGGTGAAGTGAGTTGAATAGCCTTTGTCGCAAATCTGGGACACACTTAACAAGCTATGCTTTAATTCAGGAGCATAGTTAACATTCTCAAAACTTGGCACTCCATTGGAAACAGTTCCCTTCTGAGTTATCTTTCCGCCTTCTTCACCCACGAAGGAGACATATCTCCCATTAAATGTTTGAATGTTGCACAGTTGTGATATATCTCCAATCATGTGCCGGGAGCAGCCGTTGTCGACATACCAGGGTCTGACGACATTCCTCCGCAACTGTTCCTACACGATGAGCGGAATCATTTAGTTTTGGGGACCCAGGTCATCACAGTCTTGGGTTGACCCTTAACTTTCACAAATTCGTTTTTCAAATTTTCTTTTCCAACATTTATAGAGGAGGATGATGACTGATCAGATTTTAATTTTGGCATCCATTTATATTTAGGTTTTGAAACAATTTTCTTTTCAGTTTTCTTTGAGCATACGGATTTTCTACTCGAAGAGTTTGAAGATCCAGGACTACTCTTTGACGAAATCGACTTAGATTTAGCATGGGTCAATTTTAGCAAGCTGTTTGTGAATTTATTAAAAACCTGTTTGTCCTTTTGAAAAACTGCCTTGTTCTTATTTTGTTTTGCTTTCCAGTCATCATCGCGAGATCAAGTTCTTGAGGACTTTCTAATTAAATACCATCCTCTAGACTCATTCTCTCCCCTTTTTGTCAAGTGATGCACAAACATTCGGTTTAAGCAATTTCTGGCAATGTGACCAACAGTACCACAATTGAAAAAAAATTGTTTATTATCATTGGATTGAGTACTGCTCTTGTCAAATTTCTGGTGTTTATTATGTTTTCTAGCATTTTCACATTTGTAGGAACATGTACTAGATGGTGTATCAAACATGGAAGATGTAGAAGCATTCAAATCAGATTTAGCAATTTTATCAGAAACAACACAATTATTTTCAGAATTATCAGTCTGAAACAACACACCACTAGAAATAAAAATGTTAGTGTTTGAATTTATCATAGACTCGTCATAGAATTCAACACCAAACTTAGACACATAATTATTTGACTCAAACTTTTCAGCTTCTTGCTCCCCCTGAAATACTGACACATCTGCACTTAAGGTAGAAATATTAGTATCCAAAATCTTATTATTAAATTGTGTTGCTTGTTCAGAAGCTGACTTTCCATAAACCATGTAAGGTTCTTTGTCAATCTCTTCTTGAGACAAGCGAATAGTAGTGTAGTTATGATTGAAGGGAGGGGGGACACTCTCAAATCCTAGTCCAACTTTTAGCTGATTGCCACAATAAATATCCCTCCAGTGCATTTGTCCTTCGATCATTTTTGCAACAGTTTCACTTGACCCATCAAATTTTTTAAAATTAAATTCAACATTTTCAAAACGGTTTTTCAATGCGTCAAGTTCAGCGGTTACAGCAACAAGTTTTCTTTTGCGATGATCATAGTTCTCGCATTTTTTGCTGTAATCCTCCTGCAGTTTCTTAAAGTCCTTTGTTTTATTTTCTAATTGAGTCTTTAAGGGCTTTTGATTTTTCCTAAGTGTGTATCCCTCATATTTAAGGTCCTCGTTCTCTTTCTTGATTATTTCAATTTGGTCTCGCAAGAATTTAACAATTTTAATACAAGACTGAGAACAACCAAATTCACTAACCTCGGGTTTGGCAGGTTCTGGAGTGGTTTGCACCATCAATGCAAATTGAATATTCATCATCTCTTCTTCGATATCTTTAGCTGTTTCTTCTCTCTCATTATCCTTGATCTGAGTAAGATGTGCATTTTCTGGTCCTAAAATATTTAGGGCTTGAATTTGATCTTCCCAACTAAATGATTGGGCCACCATTGCCAAGTTACCAGTCTGATTCCTAGAAGACGATCCTTTGTTAACATAAGTCACCAGTACCATGGTTTGATCAGTATTCTCTCTTCGATCTGGATTTGGACATTCCCTTGCAAAATTCCCAGGCTCATGACAATTGCAACATCGCAGTTTTCCTTTATTAAATTCCACTTTCTTGTCGGAATTTACACTCCAATTGTTCTTTCCTGTTTTCTTGGAGAACTGTTTTTCCCTAAAAACCGCGTTGGCCATTTTCCATGTAATGTCCATCTCTTCCACATCCTTAGGATGGATCTGGTCTAGATCATCAAATGAGAGTTGTAGGCAGAGTTCTCCGACCACAAAAGCATTGTAGCAGTTTACTAAACCAGTGGCGAGAGCTAGATTGTCTTCCTTTTCGTTTGAAGATGAAGCTTGAGTACTGATTCCATGAGATTGAACTGAAGCAGCTGTAGATGAACCAACACTAGAACCAACATGATGAGTTAAGGTTTGAGATTGAGGGCCTTGAGTTTGTTGCATTTGAGGTATAGCGTATGATATGGGATGATGATTTACATAGGGTTGAACTTGAGGAACATGAGCTTGAGGGGCTTGATGAGTAGTAAAGCTTGAGAAAGCGGTGTTGTTGTTGTTTTGAATTCCAAGATTAGCTGTGGAGTATGAATTGACATGGTTAACGTCTCTTTGTTTATCATCAAGATCACAAGACTTGATGATTGCCATTGTTTCAGCCAAACTCAATCGGTTCAAGTCTTTAGTCTTTTTAATCACTGAGACATTCATATCCCAGGATTTTGGTAGAGAATTTAGCAGCTTTTTGTTGACCTTCGATCTTGTAACCATCACACCAGTAGAGCTCATTTCTATGGTGAGTGTGATAAACCTTTGCAATTGATTTTCAAGTCTTTCTCCCAATACATAGTTAATCATATTGAACTTCGGGTGCAGCATGTCTTGGCGAATTTGTTTCATGTCTTCGTTGCCTTCATATACTTCTATCAGTGCTTCCCACAAAGCCTTTGTTGATATATACTCACGGAATCCTTGAGAAATTTCCGGAGATAATGCCATGGTAAGTGTAGCAAGTGCCTTTTCTTGTTCCTCGACTCTTTCAAAATCATCAACAATGTAGTTTTCAACTTGTTTGTCAGTTATGGTGCCATCTTCCAATGTTGTTGTAATACGGATTAGACCTCTCAAAATCCTTCTCCAAATTTTAAAATCCTTCATCTTGATATATTTTTCAATTCGATATTTCCATTCAGGAAATCCTTCTGCTGACAACAATCGGGTAATTCAAGTAGTGGTGCCCATAATAGCATCCAAATGATGATGAGTAGACATGCTTTGAGATTCCATGTTTTAGAAACTAGCAAAAACTTTGTTAATTTAGATGAATGTAATCGCACACACTAACAGCACACACTGACCGCACACACTAACCACACACACTGGCCGCACACCTGACTGCACACTCTAACCGCACAGCCACACACAGTAACCGCACACCTTCAAAAACCTTCAACCGCACACCTTTAAACTCTCAACTGCACTCCTTCAAAATCTCAACCGTACACCTTCAAACTTCAACCGCACACACAAAAATGCCAGATTTTGAATGAGTTCTGATTTCAAACTTGTTAAAACCACCGATTAGCAGTAGTTTCTTGATCAAAGAGTATAAATGCACTTCAAAAATAGCAAAATTTCTAAACCGCACACTCTAAAATGCTTCAAATTGATACTGAATTGGCTCTGATACCAATTGTAAGTCCCAAATCTTATGGATCCAAATCAGTAATCAATGAAATATCAGCAATCAAGTAGAGTGTCGAAGGAGTAGAAGAAGAATAACATCAATCATGCACACATCTATTGCTCATAAATGTTAGGTACACCTTGAAAAACACACATACATACGTCACCTTACTGACACATAGACACGGATCTTTTATACTACCCATAGTAGCACACCAGTGCGCAGTCGCACACGCCGTGTGCGGCCGCACACACGTGTGTAGCTGCACACATACAAACTTATCCAACATAGACCATCACACCATACTCTATCAACCTACCAAGATCTATACAAAATAATGCTTAGACCAAACCACAAAAGTATAGTCTTTCAATTAGATATGTTCACATTAATGTCTAAAGTTTGAACCTCCTCATTAAATGACTCGGTGTTTGAAAATCCAGGTGGTGTGACAACAGTCGGCTTAGGAGTGGAAAGATGCGAATCACCTTGATTAGTGGTTGTGTCCATATTAGATACTTTCACAGTGCCACCAGGACTGCTAGTCTCCTCGACATTCGATTTGAGTGGAGAGCCCCTCGCTAGTGATGGAATCCCCATATCAAGATCGTGAAATGGCAATTCAAGTGCAATGTCTTCCATTAAATCTTTAGTAACCTTTGGCTTCTTTTTCTTCTTGTAAATACGTTTCACCGTATCTTCAGCTCTTCGTATTTAGAATTTGGCGACACAGGTGTTGGAATTTCACGAATGACAACTACTTTTTGATTGATTTGTGGCTTGCGAGAAATCTTCAAAACACATTTGAGAGAAAAACTACTTGACCTTTCTGGTAAGTGATGTGGCCTGTGAGCCATTTTCTTCAATCGTTTCAAAATACTAGATTTCGAAGGCATAGTCTCCTTCGCATGTGTAGATGTTTCTTTAATAATTGGCTTAACAACCTTCTTTGGAGGTGGATCAGATTTAACAATTTTCTTTGGAGTAGGCTTTGCAACTTTCTCAATTTGTTCAGGACTAGGTTTCGAAAGACTAGCCTTAACATCTTTCTTTGATCTTTCGCTTCTTCGAAGGACCTCCAAAATTCTTGGGCAACAAAACTCTGGTTTCAATCGAAGGATTAACAGTTTGCAAGTAAGCCACCAACACCATATGATAAGGATCAACTTTCCGAAGCATAGCATCCGAAATATGTCCAACAGTTGGAAACATATTAGGATCATCCTCCATTGACTTCGGAAACTGATACAAAGAAAATTTTGCTACCTGCGCATCATCTGGAACCTGAATCTCCTCCTTTTCATAAGCAAACTTCAAGATAAGACTCCAGTAGCGAGCACACGATATACCAATAACAACATTTGTGTTTCCAATGCTTTTAACAAACTCCTCCCATAACTGCGTAGCATAATTTACTTGCAAATCATAATAGATACTAGCAACCATGGCATAAATCTCCAATGTCGCCTTGTCCAGACCAACAATTCTTCCAGTCAAACATCTAAGGAAAAAGCCAAACAAGAAATTCCATATGCAAGGTAGATAAGACTTCTTAAAATCACTTATCCTTGTCAAAACTAGTTGATGACCCATTTCATTGAACATGTACACCACTTGTTCATTCGAAACCTCGTAGAAAGGTTTGACATTGGGAATATCCAGGATTTTAGCAAACAACTTCTTGGATAACTTGAATTTCTTGGCATTCATCAATTGGAAAGTAACCACTTTAAGCATCTTGCTATAAACTGTAGTTGAACCACAAGAGATAATCAGGACAACGACACAGAAAAGGAAGAAAAGATGGTCGTAGATAGAACAGAGTTATTTAATGCCAAGATGAACATTTGCAAACCTTCAGGATATCGAGTAATATCCAATTGAACTCGTAAATTTCTACTTTGAATATTAATTAGTGTTTAACAAGTGGTGTCATTAGTGGTCTGGGATGGATCAATTTGATCATTAGTTGCCGCCATTGGTAGGGTTTGAGAGCTTTGTGTGAAAACAAAGAGTAAAAAGGGCAAGTAAATTTGGGGAAACTTTTTGATCGCGTAAAGTTTGAATGAAATCCCTAAAACCCTTTTTATACATAAACCCCAAGTTTGAATTTCAAATTGTTGATCATTAAATGCACGACATGTGGTTCCATGAAAACTAGGCATGTAGTCGTAAAAATAGCCACGTTTTAAAAGTGATGATCATTTTTTGCCTTAAAACCCGCACAACTACCAAACCATCACATCCAACAGACTGTTCATTTGCCCCAATGGAATAAGAACCGTCAGTAACCCTTCGGCATGGAGGCTGGGCTTTTTCGCTTTTGGGTTGAAAAGTGAAGTCATGTGCTAGACTTGCGAAATAATCAACCTGAGTTGGTATTACTCAGAACCTCAAGGGTTTCATGAGTGCAAACTGTGCCAAAGATTAGATAAGAAGAAAATTAAGAAAATGTTTGTGTTGTGATGTCAATTATGAATCGACATAAAGCAGTAAGATCTCAGGCAAAGATCACTTACTTCTACATCAAGAGAGATGTCGAACAGCTTGTGTGGTTTCTCGCGAATTACAATCGAATACTCATACAGAAGTATCAAAGGGCATCTTTTAATTGGCTTCGAGGGTGGATAACATATTTTGTTATATATCACCACTAAACATAAGTGTGAGAAATTGTAAACAAAAATACCTTTTTGACCAGTGTAGTAAGGGACAAGTATGCTTTGGAAAAATATATCTAGTAACAAAGGATCGAAAAGATATTTAGCAAGACCACTCAAGATGAGAGAATATGACTTTGAATATCGAAAAATGGTACTGAAACAAATGTTTCGTTAAAATCTTGAACTAAAAAGTTCACCATCAATTCCTTGTAAGTTTCGAAATTTTGGGTTTCACTTTCATCACGGTCTCATGAATCCAGATCATAAACACAGATTGTTTGCATACCTATAACCTGGTTTTTTTCAACCAGAGATGTCTTGGGTATGTTCCATAGTGTGTGATCGTGAAGGAACATTAGGATGAAAAAGGTTGGTTTAAGAATTGAAATGTACCTCTACAATAAGTGGACCAAGAAGGAAACTCTTAACTTAGTAGAGAAGAGTAAGGTAGCTCAATGACTAATGGGAATATAGCCTGATTGGGAAGGAATTCTCATGATGAGAGATCCATTAAGGATTCGAAAAGCCATTGAGTCTTGGAGGCTTGGGACAACATGCTTTAACATGCTTCTAAGGACACCTAACTAGTGCAAAGTATCAAAATTATACCTTTCCCTAAAGTTGCAGTGCATGTTCCACCAGAGATTTTTGCAAGTAAGCTTCACAAAACAAGTTAACGAAACAAACCAAAAATATTTTTGGATTTTTCATTTTGAAATGAAAAGAACAAAATAAGAAAATCTTTTTGATGTTTTGTTTTTGAATTTAAATAATAAAACTAACGAAAATCTTTTTGTTGTTTTCGTGTTTTTGTAACGAAAAATGAACAAAAACATGTGAAATCTATAGTAACAACTAAAGTGAGTTAAAGTAATAAAACACATACATAATCAATCATAGGACTTTCGAAATCAAAGCATGTCAAAAGCTGAATGATGAATAGTAACCTATGAATGGATCAGTGTAAGGTTGATGTCACTTTCCTTTATAACGAACTCAGACCCGAAACATCATTCGCGTCAAGCATGCCTAAGCCTGATAAAATTCGAAAAAATAATCTTTTCATCCAAAGGTTTTGCAAAGAGATCAGCAAGTTGATCAGTTGTCATTAGAAAGTGGGCTTCTATATTTCCATCTTCATCATGATCTTTCATAAAGTGATAACGAAGTGCGATGTGTTTTGTCTTCGAATGTTGCACATGATTATGATAGATGCGAATAGCACTTTGTGAGTCACAATACAACGAAATTTCCATCATATTGATTCCATAATCACACAGTTGACTTTGAATCCATATGATTTGAGAAGTGCAAGCTGCAATAGCAACATATTCATCTTCTACTTTAGAAATCGAAACACATGTTTGCTTTTTCGATTGTCAGCTAACAAGCTTCCCATCCAAAAGTTTACATCCGCCACTTGTGCTTTACGATCACGTTGACAACCACCCAAGTCAGCATCTAAAAATGCTTGAATGAAAAATCCTGTTTTCGAAGGATGCCACAATCCTAACGAAACTGCACCTTTGAGATAACGAAAAATGTTCTTGACTGCTGTAATATGTGGTTCCCTAGGATTCGATTGGTAGCTAGCACAATTTCACACAGAAAACATAATATCCAGTCAACTAGCCATTAGGTATAGTAATGAACCTATCATGCTTCAGTACAAAGTAAGATCAATAGTTGGTTTGTCTAACGAAGGAGCAAGTCTTGTTGCAACTTCCATTGGGACTCGCAACTTTTAGCAATTGATCATTCCAAAGATTTCCAGAAGATTTCGAGAGTATTTCTTTTGATTGATAAAGATTCCTTCTCTACTTTGACGAATGTTTAATCCCATAAAATTGTTTATTTTCCCCGCCATGCTCATCTCAAACGGGCTTTTCATCATGTTTTCAAATTCTCTAGACAATTGAGGGTCAGTTGAACCAAAAATAACATCATCAACATAAATTTGAACAAGTATGAAATGATTGCCAACTTTCTTTCTAAAGAGAGTGGGATCAACTGATCCTTGTTGAAAATTTGATGTTTTTAAGTAATTAGTAAGAGTAGCATGCCAAACATATGGATCTTGTTTATGTCCATAAACATCCTTTCTAAAACATAAAAATAATCAGGATGTTAGGAATTGATAAAACCTGGGGGTTGTTCGACATACACCGTTTCTTCTAGAACTCCACTAATAAAAGCACACTTTACATCCTTTTGATGTACATCGAAATCCTTGTGTGCTGAAGATTCAAACAGCCTCAAGTCTTACGACAGGCACAAAGGTTTCTTCAATAATCGATCCTTTTTGTTGCGAATATCCTTTTACTACTAGCCTAGCCTTGTTTCAAACTATATTCCATTCTTTATCAGTTTTATTTTTGAAAATCCGTTTTAAGCCTACAACCGATACATATTTACGTTTCGGAACAAGTCTCCACACCTTATTCTTTCGAATTCAGTCAATTCAGATTGCATAGAAACAATCCAATTAGGATCCTCCATAGCAATCATGTGACATCCCCAATTTCACGGCTAGAAAAGACCGATTTGTTTATACTTTGTTTTAAAATTAGAGTAATCGTTTACAAAAAACAGTTGCGGAATTTCTTCCCAAAACAAAATATGATAAGAATTTATCAAAGTATTTCTTTAAAGAAATGTATTTCATTAAATAACAAAATCTCAGGATGTCATATTCCGATACAGACCAAAAGCATAAATAGTATAAAATAGACCTTACAACAGCTATTTATAACTACAGATCTATAATCCAAAATCTCTCGTCAAGTCCACCAACTTATACTCTTGTGCCATTACCTGTAATACAAAGAAAACTGAGTTGGTCAGGCTTGGGAGCCTGGTGAGCATATAGGGTTTTCAACCCACAATAATATAATTATTATATTTAATCATCAAACAATCAACCCAACTACCCATCCCCATTATCTTCGTTTAGTCTTCCCTAAAGATATTATCCTATCGGTCATCTCTTATATCATATTTACCTCTCATCTCCTTACATCTTATTTCCTTATATGTTTGTTCCTAAGAACTTTTCCTAAGGATCATCATCTACATCACGTAGACAATACTAATTCGGGGATCACTCCCTCAATATGTGTCTAGTAAGGGTTAGGGTATCATCGCATGAATACGAAGCCACAACATCATCTGGACTCATAAATCATAATAAGGGTTAGACCATCATCGTATGAATACGCAGTCACAACATCGCCTGGACTCGTAAATCATAATAAGGGTTAGACTATCATCGCATGAATACACAGCCACAACATCGCCTGAACTCTTAATTCATAATCAGGGTTAGACTATCATCGCATGAATACGCAACCACAACATCACTTGGATTTGTAATTCATAATAAGGGTTAGACTATCATCGCACGAATATGCAACCACAACATTTTTTGGATTCATAATTCATTACCTACCTATCATCGCCTAATTATCATCACCATTATATCCTCACCTATCTTTGATCACATTATTTCATCACAGACCAAC